TCAGTGCGAGAAGAGTGTCATCCTTCTCCATCTCACATCTGCCTGTAGTTATCGAATTCTGCCTGATGGACCCATGAAGCAAACTCTGTCATATCCAGGATGGAGTGTCATGCACTTCACCCCTCCTGCCACCTGACTGCACATGTCTATAACCTGTAATATATTATATAGATGGAAGGGACTTCATCACCCACTGGAGACTTGAAGACAGAACCTCACCCAGATAGCTGTGCATGTCAGTGTGTTAGACAGCCAAATGCTTAGATTTGGGCAAATAGACCATATAAATAGAAATGCCATTCTTGTTCCGGTTAGACAGCTGAAGTTGTACTCTACACACAACTGATTTTGATTTGTTATGTGAAGTGTAGGCATACTGTCTTTATAAGCACATCAACATGATATTTGTGCAATGTCCACATGTAGGGATATTAGTTCTGGGATTTGTCTCCCAGGAAAGATCTAACAGCGGACATAAGGAGAGACAAGACAAAACTAGCCAGTTATAGAATATTGTGTTGTAGGACAGCTGAGGTGACTGAAGACCACGGGCATTCAACTCGCAGTAGTTGATATCGTTTCCACTATAACATGTATTTACATGAGGTGAAGACCGTTGAAACTAAGTTGTAGAATGAGTATCTTATGAAACAAATTCCAGACACTGGCTCTTGCCATCTTGCCATAACTGATTTGACAGAGAATTATCAGTTAGATTGATAGCCAGCTTCAGCTATCGCCAAGCTAGGCTAGCTAGCTGCTGTCAGCTTGGCTAAACACAAGGTCAGCGCAGGCTTTAGCCTATACATAGAACTGAATTAGCTGACCATCTTGAGATGGCGAGTCAGTCAGGAGGGGAGAAGTCCTCAACTTAAAAACGTTGTTCTCTCCATAGCAAAGCTAGCTTAGCTTACCTTGCTGTACTCACTACTGCACTTGTTTATTGTGATTGAATGACAAAGACACACCCAAGAAACACCCAAATCAAACCACACCCTTAATACAGCTCTCATTTGCCTTCTGCCATGGCCGCTAGCGTTTTTTTAATGAGCGTTGATTAAAAACGAGGCCGAATCAGTTGGTGCAGTTGACCTTTTAAAGTAATCAATTTTCTCATATTGATGCCACGTTTTCAAAGGGATTAGTTGGGTTTTAGGGGCAGTCACTCTTTAACATTTCCCTCTCTATTCTTCCCTCAGACCCTTGTTTCATGTATCAGAATCAGATACTGGATAGGAGAGCGCAGTCAGTGCTTGTCCTATAAAGGTCACAACCTTTTGGAGGAGGCCATAGTATGCTTAGCCTAAAAAAAAATTGTTTTTTTAAATGTTGAAAGCCCTGACAACCTCTCTCTTATTCCAGACAGAGTTGCTATAAAAAATATTTGTCATACAACCTCCATTCACAATTGATGCTCCTATTCGATCACAAAAAACATGATATGCATTGGGATCCAACCTGAGGAGGCACAACAACCAGAAGAGGGAAAATGAGGCCACAAACATACACACGCGTTATGTTCTTCTATCCTCGTGGGGACCTAAAATTAATTTCCATTCAAAATCCAATTTTCCCTAATCCTTACCATAACCCTAACCTTAACCCGTAACCCTAACTCCTTACCCTAAACCTAACCACTAGCCCCTTACCCTTACCCTAATTCTAAACCTAACCACTAAACCCTTACCCTAATTCTAAACCTAACCCTAATTGTAACCCAACCCTAAACCTAACCCCTAAGCTTAAAATAGCCTTTGTCCTAATGGGGACATGGAAAATGTCCCCACGAGGGATAATTTTCCTTGTTTTACTATCCTTGTGGGGACTTTGGGGGATTTTAGGTCCTCAAAAGGACCCCCCCCCCCCCCCCCACACACACACACACACACACACACACACACACAAACACACTTTTCCTTGTTTACTATCCTTGTGAGTTCTTCTGGTACCCATAAGGATAGTTAAACAAAAACACCAACACACACACACAGGTGAGTCCATTACCTATTGAACTATAATGATTTACTCCATTACCTATTGAACTATAATGATTTACTCCTCCCTTACACAAAACATGTCCCCAGATAAGGACAAGGCAATATGCAATATGCACCCAGGGTAAAGGGATTCAGAGAGACATCAAGGCCTGTAAGATACTTTGTTTCACGGAAACATGGCTTTCTGGGGATATTCTCCGCGCAGACGGAGGTGTGTGTTTCATGATTAACGACTCATGGTGTAATTGTAGAAACATACAGGAACTCAAGTCCTTTTGTTCACCCGACCTAGAACAAAGCAAATTTGAGGACTAGGCTGCCGAAGTTCTATCAACATATTGACTGTTGTACTCGGGCTGCTAAAATCCTCGACCAATGCTATTCGAACTTCCGGGGTGGCTACAAGGCCCTCCCCCGCCCTCCTTTCGGCAAATCTGACCATGATTCCATTTTGCTACTCCCTTCCTATAGGCATAAACTCAAACAGGAAGCACCCGTGCTAAAAGATCAGTATAGAGACAAAGTGGAGTCACAATTCAACGGCTCAGACACGAGACGTATGTGGCAGGGTCTACAGACAATCACGGACTACAAAAGGAAAACCAGCCACGTCGCCGACACCGACGTCTCGCTTCCAGACAAGCTAAACACCTTCTTCACCTGCTTTGAGGATAACACAGTGCCACCGACGCAGCCCACTACCAAGGACTGTGGGCTCTCCTTCTCCGTAGCCGACGTGAGTAAGACATTTAAGCATGTTAACCCCCGCAAGGCTGCCGGCCCAGATGGCATCCCTAGCCGCGTCCTCAGAGCATGCGCAGACCAGCTGGCTGGTGTGTTTACGGACATTTTCAATCTCTCCCTTTCCCGGTCTGCTGTTCCCACATGTTTCAAGATGGCCACCATTGTTCCTGTACCCAAGAAAGCAAAGATAACTGAACTAAATGACTATCGCCACGTAGCACTCACCTCTGTCATCATGAAGTGCTTTGAGAGACTAGTCAAAGATCATATCACCTCTACCTTATCTGTCACCCTAGACCCACTTCAATTTGATTACCGCCCCAATAGATCCACAGACGATGCAATCGCCATCCCACTGCACACTGCCCTATCCCATCTGGACAAGAAGAATACATACAGTATGTACGAATGCTGTTCATTGACTATAGCTCAGCATTCAACACCATAGTACCCTCCAAACTCATCATTAAGCTCGTGGCCCTAGGTCTGAACCCCGCCCTGTGCAACTGGTTCCTGGACTTCCTGACGGGCCGCCCCCCAGGTGGTGAAGGTAGGAAACAACATCTCCACTTCGCTGATCCTCAACACTGGGGCCCCACAAGGGTGCGTGCTCAGCCCCCTCCTGTACTCCCTGTTCACCCATGACTGCGTGGCCAAGCACGCCTCCAACTCAATCATCAAGTTTGCAGACGACACAACAGTAGTAGGCTTGATTACCAACAATGACGAGACAGCCTACAGGGAGGAGGTGAGGGCTCTGGGAGTGTGGTGCCAGGAAAATAACCTCTCACTCAACGTCAACAAAACAAAACAAAGGAGATGATCGTGGACTTCAGGAAACAGCAGAGGGTGCACCCCCCTATCCACATAAACGGGACCGCAGTGGAGAAGGTGGAAAGCTTCAAGTTCCTTGGCGTACACATCACTAACAAACTTAAATGGTCCACCCACGCAGACAGTGTGGTGAAGAAGGCGCAACAGAGCCTCTTCAATCTCAGGAGGCTGAAGAAATTTGGCTTGGCACCTAAAACCCTCACAAACTTTTACAGATGCACAATTGAGAGCATTCTGTCGGGCTGTATCACCGCCTGGTACGGCAACTGCACCGCCCGCAACCACAGGGCTCTCCAGAGGGTGGTGCGGTCTGCCGAACGGATTACCGGGGGCAAACTACCCGCACTCCAGGACACCTACAGCACCCGATGTCACAGGAAGGCCAAAAAGATCATCAAGGACATCAACCACCCGAGCCACTGCCTGTTCACCCCGCTATCATCCAGAAGGCGAGGTCAGTACAGGTGCATCAAAGCTGGGACCGAGATAATGAAAAACAGCTTCAGACTGTTAAATAGCCATCACTAGCACACTAGAGGCTGCTGCTGCCTATTGAAATCACTGGCCACTATAAGAAATGGAAAACTAGTCACTTTAATAATGTTTACATATCTTGCATTACTCATCTCATATGTATATACTGTATTCTATAATATTCTACTGTATCTTAGTCCATGCCGCTCTGTCATTGCTTGTCCGTATATGTATATATTCTTAAATTCCATTCCTTACTTAGATTTGTGTGTATTGGGTATATGTTGTGAAATTGTTAGATATTACTTGTTAGATATTACTACACTGTCGGAGCTAGAAGCACAAGCATTTCACTACACCCGCAATAACATCTGCTAAACATGTGAATGTGATGAATTAAATTTGATTTGATTTTCATTATCTTTTTAAAACGTTACAATGCCAGTCTTCCAACATAGGACAAACTGTATACTCCTCTGATAAACAAAATATTAATTTCATTATATAGGCCCAGTGTAATAATATAGTAATAACAACTGTAGTGTAGGGCATAGGTTAAATGACTGACTGCAACCTTTGTTTTAGTATCGTTTCCCCTCTGGCGGTTTGATTACGTAACTTTGGCGCCATTGACTCACCCTTTCCCTTTAAATCGTCCCCAAAACGTAATATATAAACATAGGCTGCTGTATGCGCGGGAGAGGCTTTTGATCGACAGTAGTCCAATCCCAGCCTACTGTAAAATGAACCTTTAGTGCCATTGGCTGAATCATCTCAGTATACGCAGCGGTTTCATTTGCGTTATCCACATTGGTTAAATCGGCTGTCAGTCCGTAAAGGCGCGCTCAAGAACGTTTAAAACTCATTGGATAAAAAGTACAAACCAATCAGCGTACTTTTAATATTTTGATGATGACCATTGGTTACTGTGTTGCGCTCGTTCGGGTTTACCTCATGCTTTGGCTCTTATAATAGGTTATTTCCCATACATGTGGTAAAAGGATTTATGAACCGCCCTGGCGCGATTTGCAACGCGGGAAATACTTGCAGAAGTAGGAGCACACATTGTATCCACATTGACAGTGTGAACCTTACCATTTTTTTGTAAATTAATTAATTTTTGTGCTATTTCTTATAAGGAATTGTGGCGCGGTTTTCTACGTCATTGGAAATGAAGAATATTTTCACTCCTGATTGAATAGCTGAATTTTGTGGGACACTTTCAGTCTTATAGCTGCTTAACCCAATCTTTTATAAGAAGGCTATTTTGCTAAAGTTAGGTTACTTGACAGCAAAGCTGGGTAAATAGCTTTTTATTTTAATGGCAAGTGATTCCTGAACATTGTGATACAATTTTAGATTTTATCAGCTTTTGACACATTCGTCTTTCATCTCAACGATGGCCGAGAACAAGCATCCTCAAGTAATTTTTTGCAACGACTCTCCAAAGAGGGTCCTGGTGTCTGTGATCAAAACCACCCCGATCAAGCCCAGGAAGAGCGAGTCTCTGATACCGATCAGCCCTGGATTCAGCGACTTCATGGTGTACCCGTGGAGGTGGGGGGAGAACGCCCATAATGTGAGCCTGAGCCCGGGCTCCGTGAACGGGGCTGCCTCCCCTACCGGGACCAACACCGCCAGCGAGGCGGACATGGGTGCCTCCCCTGACCAGATGAAGGTAGGATAAGTTTGAGGTTGTTTTTCATGTTGTTTAGCCTAATAGCATTGTGTTGTGTTGAAGTTGAAATCCTATCCGGTAGGCTACTTTAAATCTTGCATGAATTGTGTCTGGTATGACGCCGTAATAACTGAAACATTAGCATTTATTTGCATGTAACTTTCAGTTGTTTGTTGTATTAAATAATCTTGCAATGAATGTGATTATCGGTTACTTTGCTTCAACTTTAGAATCTTAGTGATCATGTTACATTCACAGGATGGCTAGGCCGCTGGCAAGATAAAAGTTAACTTTACACTGCATCATTGAATGATGCAATCTAGACGCAATCTGAATAGCTGTCCAAGTTTTTTATAAGGGTCCGTATCTTTGATACAGTGCTTGTAAACAAAAATAAAGTATTTTGAGTGAAACGGATACTCGGAAAAGTGTATTAAAAAAACGCCCGCGCTCACGGGGTGACATGATGGATTTTAAACCCCAGGCAGCTGTCATATGTGACGTTGCGTCGCCCGCCAAAAATGTTACCGGATGTGCTTGGAATAAATTAATACATGCACCTTTCAGCACCATTCATTGAACAAAATATAATGTAGCAATTATTTGAAATTGGATTGTGGACAAGAATTGGACAGTCACATTTCACCATGCATTAGTCATTTTTAGGTAACCAATGACCACATTAATTTTTGTTTAGCATAATGATAGGTCATACAATTTTTTAAAACTGTTGATATGGAATACTGCTGCATTCTAAACAGTTGTAAGCCTACATTCACTATTCAAAAAGTAAATAAAGCTGCATTTATTAATGTAACTGTTGTTAACTTTATTTCCACTTTGTTTTCAGGACGGTAAAGAGGACGGTATTCGGCGTGGCCGCCCGCGTGCTGACACTGTCCGTGAGTTGATCAACGAGGGGGAGAGCTCCTCCAGCCGCATCCGCTGCAACATCTGCAACCGTGTGTTCCCTAGAGAGAAATCCCTACAGGCCCACAAGAGAACACACACAGGTGAGAAAAGTCTACAGGCCCACAAGAGAACACAAACAGGTGAAAGCAGAGCACAGATGTCCCTAACACACTGACACCCAAACTACCAGGACATTATGCGGTTCCCTGTGTTACAACACCAATACACTGCTCACTTTTATAGGCATCTGCTAGAAAAATAGAACAATTACAAACTAATAACTCTCTCTGTTCTCTCCCAGGGGAGAGGCCTTACCCGTGTGACTACCCTGACTGTGGCAAGGCTTTTGTCCAGAGTGGCCAGCTAAAGACCCACCAGCGCCTTCACACCGGAGAGAAGCCCTTTGTCTGCTCTGAGAAAGGTGAGCACACAGCTAGACCATCACCCTTTACATAGGTGGTACCTTTAGACCTTTCTCATAGGAGGGGTGCAGAATCCACCAAATGGAAAAGCATTGACACTAACTCTGATATCATTTTTCTCTCCCAAGCCTGTGGCAGTCGCTTTACCCATGCTAACCGACACTGCCCAAAGCACCCATATGCCCGTTTGAAGAGAGAAGACCCCAAGGAGGGACCAGACAAGGCCCAGTCTGTGGACAACAAGGCTGTGGCAGAGTGGCTGGCAAAGTGAGTGGCTCTGGAGGGAGGTGGACAGGCAGATCAGACAGATAGTAAAACAAGTGAAGCGATTGAGCGATCTCACCTTATTCTGCACACCCCAATACTCACCATATCCCCCCATTGTCTCTCTGTGTTGTGGAAGGTACTGGCAGACCCGTGAGCAGCGTGCCCCTGTGCCCACCAAGGGGAAACCCCAGGGCAAGGGTGGGGTGGAGGACCAGGAGCAGCAGGACCCCCGGGAGTTTCTCCAATCAGATGAGGAGGAAGAGGAGGAGCCAATGGAGGAAGAGAAGGGCAACGGGGGCGGGGCTGCCAGACGGAGTCTACAAGAGCAACGGGAGCGTCTCCATGGTGCGCTGGCGCTCATTGAGCTGGCTAATAACCTGTCTGCCTGAAACCCCACCCATATCCCAGTGTTGAAACCCTCCCCAGTCAACCCCCTTCTGCCTCCCTGCGCAATGTGTTCTGGGTAGAAGTTGTCTGTAGGGAAACCCATCTAGGATAAGCTTACCCTCCCCAAATACTTAACCATTAATGGGGGGAAATGCTAAGCGGACCTTAGATCAGTATATGGGGGTAACTTCTTCTCCATGTGCAGTGTGGGGCAGGCACAAGCTAAAAGCACCTTATTCAGCTTCCAATTGTATCCTTATTAGGCTGCTAAGATTGTAGATTACAGGCGGCTTGGTGGTACCTTCATTGGGGAGGCCTGGCTCATAATAATGGCTGGAATGGAATAAATGGAACGGTATCAACCACGTCGTTTCCATGTGCTTGATACCATTCCATTCTCTACATTCCATCCACTATTATGAGCCTCCCATCACCAGCCTCCTGTGTTGTAGATGTCAATATATGAAGAATGTTATACTCTCCTTTGCCTTATAAAGACTGGAGGAGAGTACCTTTTAAGGTTTTGTTTAGTTTTGTTTGCACTTTGGTGGTAACGAGTTATTTGTTATGTCTTTTACTTTTGAAGATAAAGTATATTGTGTGAGTATGTTTATATAATGAAAGTATATGTGGATTTAGCTCAGATGGAAGGAGTGATACAGGGTGCGGTCAGTCATAGGACAGGTGTATCTAAATACTGGAAAGTGGATTCCTCTCCTGATTCTCTGATCTGGACTGTGACACGATAGGTGTAAAAGCAATGTGGTGGAAGCTTATCAGGGTATTTCGCTTCCACCTGTCCAGTTCTTTCAGATCAGTGAAAGAGAGTAGACGAGGGGAGGAAGTCACTGTAGAGACTATCGAGATGCAACCCCATTGTTAGAAGAAGAGGGGGTCATTGCAAGCCTAATCTACAGTAGTGGCTGGCCACAAGCTTTCACAAGAATTCAAGCTCCAACCCCTTCACCTATTAAACGTATCACACCCAGAACTGTAGCTATAACCTGGGAGGGACAACTCTGGTCCTGGAGGGCCACAGAGTGAGTAGACGTAGCTCCATATCAGCTCCTAACAAACCTGATCCAGATTATCATTTTATGGGGATTTAGACCACAATTAGTTTAGTCAGGTGTGTTAGAGCTGGGCTGGAACAAAAGCCTGCCTATGCTATGGCTGTGAAGGCGTTGGCCTTCTCTGCTCTAACCAAATCACATGGCCAGACAGACGGAAGAGGAATATGTAAAGTTATTAGTGTCACCATCTTTTATATTAAAAGATTCTGGCTGATTGGAGATACGGACGTGGTTGCCCCATTGGTGGTGTACGTACAAGTCTTCTCTATAATCAAAGTTTCATAGGTATTTATTTCATCATGTTTATTTGTCCTTTTTGTTAACGATTTGCTATCACAAGCTGTCTCCGAGTACTGACATATAGTTCCATTGAAGAGTTTATTGCTCATCGCCTCCCTCAAATGATTTAGTATCTATCGACGTCAACTTATAGCCGTTAGAATTGTACTCCCCTTTGCAGCAGCACTTGTATCTACAGTATCTGCTATTAAGTTTAGCATTTATGGATTAAGCTTCCAATGTAACGTTTCCACCAATTAGACCAGTCTAGAGAAATGGCACTTGTTTCTACATAAAGGGAGGGTGTAATGATTGCTTGGCATTGGCGAGGTTTTATTATTTGTTAGTAACACTACATCTCTTAACATTGTGTAAAGCTTTTATGGTAAATGGCCAATTGTTTTTAAATATATGTTTTTGTTGTTTCATAAGGTTTGTGCTTCCTGCAACACCCAGATCCTTTATTGGCCATACGTGATTAAATATGTCGTATCCCATTGGGCACAAACTGGTTGAATCAACGTTGTTTCCAAGGCATAAAAAAAAAAACGATGTTATGTCGTTGAATCAACGTGAAAACTGATTGGATTTGCAAGAAGTCATTCATGTAAAGGACTTTAGGGAATGTTTGTCTTTTTCACCCAACCTTTAACCTAAATCCAAGGACATGGTTCAATTGTTTGTTGATTTTACTTTGAATTCACGTTAGTTGACAATTCAAATGTAAATCAAAACTAGATGTTGAATTGACATCTGTGTCCAGTGGGATGACGTCCAATACATTTTTTTGATAGAGTACAGGTTAAACTGGAAGACAATGATTTTGTTGATAATCAAAACAACCCAAGTATAGTGTATATATCTTGATGTATTTTGAACACTTTATTATTTGGTTTAAAAATGTTTCGGCAGTTAATATATTCCACGACTTGTTTGTTAGAAAAAGAGAAACCAAATCTACAGTACAAGAGCTTTGAAGTTGATGTTTAAATGATTATGAAATTCACTCTCCCTCCCACCATGTTAACAGACCATAGTCAGCATTGTGTGTTTTAGGCCTTAATGGGAAATGTTCTGACTTGTTTTGTAGAGATGACATTGTTGATGTTTAAAACAGTTTCTCTTTACAGGCAGTCCACACTGTTGGTACTTGTTGGTTTTCAATAAACACCATCAATGATCATGATCCAGGAGCCAGTTTAATTCCTTCTAGTTTATTGCTATGCTAATGATTGATAAGGGCTGCATCATCACTACACTGCAGTTCAGTTGTCCTTGAACATACAGCTCAATACACTACATTCTCTGTCACACATTTTCAAGAGGTGCTTAATAACCACAAGTGGCCATTGCTATTTACACATGTAATAATATGCATGTGTAGTAACACTTGTCTTGATGACACAATTAAATTACAGGTTTCAACTTGCAACACAAATAATAAAACATTTGTCAAAAATATGATTATAATTCATCATAAAAGATACATTAAAACATACAAAATGTAAGAACTTTTGCTCCAATATGGAGCAGTTACAAAGGGTTGTGCTTACAGTCCAGAAAAATAAAACTATGACCAGATGCATCACAGGTGTATTCACTTATACATTGTGTTCAGGCAGTGCTCCCTTGAAAAAGAGGCCTTGGTCTCAATGGGACTCCCTGATAAAATAAAGGTTAAATAAAGATAACTTATTTCACAAGGAGTCGGTCTGTGGAATCTTCCATAATGGGAATCTTTAGCTGATCCTGGTTTATCTGTGTTTTGCTTCCATTGCATTGGGATGGTTTGCTGCTGCCGTGGAACGTCAGGTAGGAATACACAAGTCCCCCTGACATACTGACGAGAAGAGACAACTATAGAGTTGGACATTGAAACAGAATGGCATAGCAACAGCTTCTTGTGCTAATGTGTAATTAATAAATAAATCAGTTGTTACCAAATATTCAACCCTAGGAAGTTTGTCCATGAAAACAGGTAATCTCCACCTAAAAACATACCGATGTAGGCCACAGCAACATTCTGAGGAAAACAACTGATATTAATACACTATATAGTTGACATGACATGACATGATATTCATGGGTATGTGGACTCAGAAGGAAATGATCAGAATAGGATTCCCCACAGGCATTTGCATCAGGGTTGCATTTGAAAACACTCACTGACCCCGACCCAGCTGTGTCAATAACCCCAAATGTTAGGAGCAAACATATTGACCCACATGTTACTGGTCCACGTGTTCCTCTTACCTTAATTGCTCCCACCACTGTGGTGGTGAGTGCTGAGTTGTAGTGGCTACACAGCACTATGGAATACATCAGCACAAACCTGAAACAGAGAGAAGCACAAGATCTTCTTATTAATAAGGCCGCCACCACCACCCCCTACTGGGAGTCTATTTTAGGTTTTGATATATTCTAAGAATTGTTAAAGGAAGTTGTGTCGGCAACGATGGAGCCCAATGGGACAACGTCAAGGCTAAGGTGAGGCGTGTCTCAGTGTCCGGCTCTGCCTCCGGTTGGTAAGGAAGGATATCCTCATTCAGTCTACACTTCATTGTTCTTATAATGTTGAACATCAACATATCAAATTGCATAGTTTAGGTGGAATAATGCCCCTTTAACAGCCATAGAGAAAGGGATACACTGGCAGTTTCTCTTTCAGTAATTTGTACACTTACCCCATGATGCAGGACATAAGGAAGCAAGAAACAAAGTGGGTGTTCAACCACTGTTCATTCGTGATGGCCTGTCAACACAAAAACACACACATAGACAGGTCAGACAGACAGGGATTAGCTGATACTAGATCTGTGCCTAAAATCAACGACTATCCTGAGAAAATGGGAAATGCATTTACCTTGTGTAAATCCCCAGTGAATGCACTCGCCAAAAGAGTTGGAATGAAAATGATGAATGCATTGTAAAATAAGATCCCATATTTTCCAAGACCCTTTCAAGAAATAGAAAATGAAATTTTATGCGAGTCAGAATTACACGAAACAGTTAGCTAGTCAACTTCTCAACTATAAATGTTACACATGCTGCACTGTTTAAGGGTGGGCGTCCTAACAAATGAATCAACCTCACTTAACCTGGCCACATTTAGGTCATTATCCTGCAAATTCAGACCCTACACAATTACATTTTACATTTTAGTCATTTAGCAGACGCTCTTATCCAGAGCGACTTACAGTTAGTGCATACATTATTATTTTTCATACCCCCTGTGGGAATCGAACCCACAACCCTGGCGTTGCAAACACCATGCTCTATCAACTGAGCTACATCCCTGCCGGCCATTCCCTCCCCTACCCTGGGCCAATTGCACGCCGCCCCATGGGTCTCCCGGTCGCGGCCGGCTACGACAGAGCCTGGATTCGAACCAGGATCTCTAGTGGCACAGCTAGCACTGCGATTCAGTGCCTTAGACCACTGCGCCACAATGCAACCAATAGAGCACAGGTCACTCTTTCAGCAATACCTCACCTCCTCACCTTTCCTCACTTGGCTGGAATGTAAACATGCATGATGAAAATGTACAATAGAAAAAGCTATCGATTGTTGCAATACAAGGCCTTGATTCATCCAACCTGCCTTAGAAATATGTATGCAGTCTCCTGTGCCTGTTTAAGAATATCTTAATCTGAAAACTGGAAGTATCTACCTGTAAGGATAATCTAGTATCAGGTGCTTGGTATTTTCAAAGTATCCAGAACCATTCTGGGATTTTATTTGACAAGGGTAAAAAAGAAAACGTTTACGTGCTCAAATCAATGTGTTATCTCTTATTATTATAATGTGGCAAGAATGTGTCCTACCTCAGTTTCCAGTTTCTTCTTGGTGTACACACCACTGGCAGCAGTGAAGACATCATTAAGCAGAATGAACATGTAGCCCTCTGCATCAAAGGCCAAGTCAGAGCTATGGGAGAAAATAAAGGGAACATTTTATTCATAATGGTAATGAAGACTTCCTTCAAAGTACCCTTGATGTTTTCAGAAGTAATATCAAGCAAAGAAGAGTAGTTCACTCGACAGGAATATGTTAACAGTGTGAACATTTCAGTTGCAACTTACCTTGCAGCCACCAAAGCTCCAAAAACGATGGCCAAAACACTGTAGATCAGACGGTTAGGGTAACATTTTCTGGAGAGGATATTAAAATTCACATGTTAATACTATAAGACTGAACTATAAAAAAAAAAAAAGAGCAGTTACGATGACAAAATATACAGATGTGAAAGAATTGCCACAAACTTCAATATCCTTGCTTCCATGATCATTGTCATCAATATGGTGAACTTCCTTAGTACTGTGAACATGGGTAAGCTGTAAAAGGATTAAATCGATCAATCACATTTTATCTGATTTTTTATAAATGCATTTGTCAGAGTGCTTGGCAGCCCTGGTCTAAATCCCTATGAGTAGAGGTTGGTGTTTAAGTTGTACACACTGTAATTGAGGTGATATCTGAAACTAATGCAAGTTTCACTCATGAATTTAGACTCCATTGTACCTTAACTTCTTTGTACTCGCCAGTCCTGTTATGTGGTTTCCAACATACAGCAGAGGTAGAGGGAAGATCTGTATTGCAATAATTCATTTAATGAATGAATTCAAGATGGTATATTGACGGCAAACTGCAAAAATACATCTTGGAACATTGACTCTTTGTGGCTTATTGTGGTTCACCTTTTGTTGTATGCATCTGTGATGGACAGGCATAGGATTAAAACAAGAATATAACAAACTTACTTTACTTAATAAAAACACTTACTTTTATGAAAATACTTCTGTCAAAGTCTTGAAAGTGAACTGTTTGGTTCATTTTAGCAGCATAGAGAATGATGATTGTAGTGGCCATCTGGAAAAAGGGGGAAATCAAGAGGGGGTTGGATATTTATGAGAAGATGGTAATTCCATACTCAGATGGTGTAGAAGATAGAAGTTTTGCCTTACTGACAATGGATCAGATATTTTTTTCATCAACAATTTGGTTTGGTGGTTATGATGATACAAAGGTAATCTGATCGTAGATCTGTAGTGCAACTTCTACCTCAAGAATCCTGCATTGAGGTATATTACCTGACCAATTCCTAGAAACATGTACGAGGGAAATCTAAGAAAGAGAAAAGAGATGTTATTGGTCAATCAGGAAGACGTTTTAATAAACTGTAACAACCCCATAATAACTAGCTGCCTGTTGGAGCCTCATGTGCAGTGGTGTAGTGGTGCCTGGAGAAGTGGGCATTGTCTAATTTTGCTGAAATATCCCAAACGGCCCGCCCGGCGAAGGAACGGCGCCCTGTGTGAAAAAGATTCAGTGACATACACTCTGAATGACCTAAAGCGATAAATCCCATATTGGTCTTGGTAGGCTGATAGTAGGCATATTATTGAAATAGATAAATGAGATTCAACTGAGTCAGAAATTCACAGGTTTCAGATCTTTCCCATTCTTTTCAGGTTGTTTTCACTCGGTCACACTTTTTTAATAGAATAACAACAAAATTGGATGTTCTAAGTCCACAACAATGCTTAAATCACATCAGCAGACCACTTTTGAGGTCAGGGAAAAATCTAAGAAATTTAGATTTGAGTGTATTTACCCTTTAATTTTAGCACTGCTTGTTTGGTTAATGGTGTTTCTGTAGTGCACATGAGATGGAGTTTGCAAAACAAATGGCCACTGGATTGGTGCAAATAATCATGATATCATCTGCCAGGTAGGCATAGGCTACTTTGTAGCTATACTGAACAAAAATATAAACGCAACATGTAAAGTCTTGGTCCCATGTTTCATGTGCTGAAATAAAAGATCCCCGACATTTTCCATACGCACATAAAGCTTATTTCTCTCAAATGTTGTGCACAAATGTGTTTACATATCCCTGTTAGTGAACATTTCTCCTTTGCCAAGATAATCCATCCATCTGACAGGCATATCAAGAAGCTGATTAAAAAGCATGATCATCACACAGGTGCACCTTGTGCTGGGGACAATAAAAGGACACTAAAATGTGCAGTTTTGTCACACAACACAATGGCACAGATGTCTCAAGTTGAGGGAGCATGCAATTGGCACGCTGACTGCAGGAATGTCCACCAGAGCTGTTGCCAGAGAATTTAATGTTAATTTCTCTACCATAAGCCACCTCCAACATCGTTTTAGAGAATTTGGCAGTACGTCCAACCGGCCTCACAACCACGTGTAACCACGCCTACCCAGGACCTGCATATCTGGCTTCTTCACCTGCGGGATCGTCTGAGACCAGCCACCCGGACAGCTGATGAAACAAGAGTTTGCACAACCAAAGAATTTCTGCACAAACTGTCAGAAACCGTCTCAGGGAAGCTCATCTGCATGCTCGTTGTCCTCACCAGGGTATTGACCTGACTGCAGTTAGGCGTCGTAACCGACTTCAGTGGGTAAATGCTCACCGTCGATGGCCACTAGCACGCTGGAGAAGTGTGCTCTTCATGGATGAATCCAGGTTTCAACTGTACCGGGCAGATGGCAGACCTCGTGTGGGCGAGCGGTTTGCAGATGTCAATGTTGTGAACAAGAGTGCCCCATGGTGGAGGTGGGGTTATGGTATGGGCAGGCATAAACTACAGACAACGAACACAATTGAATTTTATCGATGGCAATTTGAATACACAGAGATACCGTGATGAGATCCTGAGGCCCATTGTCGTGCCATTCATCCGCCGCCATCACCTCATGTTTCAGCATGATAATGCACGGCACCATATCGCAAGGATCTGTACACAATTCCTGTAAGCTAAAAATGTCCCAGTTCTTCCATGGCCTGCATACTCACCAGACATGTCACCCATTGAGCATGTTTGGGATGCTCTGGATTGATGTGTACAACAGCGTGTTCCAGTTCCCGCCAATATCTAGCAACTTCGCATAGCCATTGAAGAGGAGTGGGACAACATTCTACAGGCCACAATCAACAGCCTGATCAACTCTATGTGAAGGAGATGTGTGGCGATGCATGATTGCAAATGGTGGTCAAACCAGATACTGACTGGTTTTCTGATCCACCACGACCCTACCTTTTTTAAAGGTATCTGTGACCAACAGATGCATATCTGTATTCCCAGTCATGTGAAATCCATAAATTACGGCCTAATACATTTATTTCAATTGACAGATTTCCTTTTATGAACTGCAACTCAGTAAAATCGTTAATTGTTGCATGTTGTGTTTATATCCAGGGTAGGGGAGGGAATGGCCGGCAGGGATGTAGCTCAGTTGGTAGAGCATGGCGTTTGCAACGCCAGGGTTGTGGGTTTGATTCCCACGGGGGGCCAGTATGAAAAATATAAAAAATAATGTATGCACTCACTAACTGTAAGTCGCTCTGGATAAGAGCATCTACTAAATGACTAAAATGTAATTGTAGATTTTTGTTCAGTGTAGTTAACATTTCATTGAAAAGGTTTTTGGGAAAGCCTTTCCATCTACCAGAAGACAGTTAGGCCTATCATTAGCATTGCTATATTTTTCCTGTTCCTTAATTGTTTGAAACCTGGACGTTTTTCTTCATATTATACACGTCATATTATAAGTAATGTTCCCACCATAGAAGCGTGGAGGCAATTCGTGTATAGACTTCCTCATATGTGCTCTCCTGTTTTATTGGTTTTCAAAATCAACTTTCTTTCATTGTCTAGCAGGCAAAGGAATTATCTTAGTCATATTACCAACCAATGATAGCGGTTGCATCTTTAGATCACCCATCTTTCTAAATTTCTAAGGGATATTTACATCTCTGTCCATGAAACCGCTCGCATGTGCGGTACGCATTTTAGAACTGTGTTTTCCAGCCAATTGCATTTTTGAACATTTGCACGTAGGCTTACCGCTGTGTGCACATTGGAGCACTTAAAATGTTAAGAAATAATAGTTTATCAACAATTTAAGCTAAACATTCTGATCTGTTCCATCAGTCGTATTAATTGATATGGCGTATACCTCCACTACACTACTTTGATACGCATCGTGAGGATTAAGAAGTGAGTATATGCAATGACCACAAAAAATGTGGATATCCGGCGTATACCCTACCACTGCTCAAGTTGCCATGCTCATGCCGCGTTCAAAACAACAGGGAACTCGGAAATATCCGATTTACGACTTCAGTGCGTTCAAGATCAAGACAACTGGGAACTAGGAAAAAAATAGTTTTTTTTTCATCCAACTAGGAATTCCAAGTCGGGAACTCGGGCCTCTTTCTAGAGCTCCGACCTAAAGATCACTTAAGTCATAATTTCACTTTTTTCGAGTTCCCAGTTGTCTTGAAAGCACCACACTTTCACGGGATTTGTAGCGAATATTGACCGAAGTAACCTCTATGCACAGTAAGCACTGCAGTGACGAAACGATCTTACCTGTAGTTTGTGAGAATCGTTTTGTTCACAACAATGATCAAGAATGAACTGACGGCGTAGAACGCAGCAGAGAGAAACTTCAATAGTCCGGAATGTTCGGCTTCTGGCAAGTTAGCTGAGGTAGACTTGGCAGACATTACTTCCAGAATAGTTGTAATCGTCAAAATGTCAAATGATCTCCGCTGCTTTCACTTCGGCTTTGTCATGATCATGTGGAGGAAGTGTTATTAGAGTGGGCGGGGATTGTTCAAACAGGCAGTGATTATTTTTTATTAGTTTTAGTTTTATTGTCACATATACCGGATAGGTGCAGTGAAAAAGTGTTATGAAGGAAATGTGTACAATTACATAATTCTGGAAGATTATAAGTAATTTTTCCTATCTTTACTTTTACATAAAAGAAGGGAGGAGAAATACATCTAGTGCCAAATATAGACGTAATGTCATTTTGCTGAATCATATGGGCTGCTGCATGATTATTCACAATTCATTTCCAGTGATGGTCAAAATGGTCAACTTCTAGGCTATAATATAGGCCTAATCTTTTGTTTGTAGAATGACATGGAATTTGATTCATGGCTGCCTGAAGTAGGCAAACGAGTCAATCTAACACACACAAAGATAAGAATTGATGTAAATTTCATAATTGAAGATGGTATGGATACACTGGATGGCTATAATTATTTTATTACTCCATAACATAGTTGATGATTTATTACCTATTACAGCTGTAAAAATGCTCACTGTCAGGCAGAATAGCTTAGAGGTTAAGAGCGATAGGCCAGTAACTGAAAGTTTGCTGGTTCAAATCCCTGAGTCGAGTAGTGGAAAAATATTTCGTTGTTCTCTTGAGCAAGGCACTTAACCCTAATTGCTCCTGTAAATCGCTCTGGATAAGAGCATCTGCTGAAAAGTCCATTAGAGGACGCCATTGTGGAATTTGTTTTTTAAAAAATTAGGCCAGTGCAAACTTTGCACCTTTCTTTTAGTTCAAACTTGATCTAGTCCCAGACGGGATATCTGATCTGGTCCCGGGCTAGATCAACCTGTGTCTATTTAGCTGTGTATATGTGTATCTGTTTGTCTGTCTGTCTGTCTGTCTGTCTGTCTCTCTGTCTGTCTGTCTCTCTGTCTGTTTGTCCACACAGGTCACATTCTCCCAGCTGGAAGTCAAATTGAAATTCTGTGAATGTAACTGAATAATACGATCAGAACAGTTCCTCATATGCATACAGTGAAGGAAAAAAGTATTTGATCCCCTGCTGATTTTGTACATTTGCCCACTGACAAAGAAATGATCAGTCTATAATTTTAATGGTAGGTTTATTTGAACAGTGAGAGACAGAATAACAACAAAAAAATCCAGAAAAACTAATGTCAAAAATGTTATAAATTGATTTGCATTTTAATGAGGGAAATAAGTATTTGACCCCCTCTCAATCAGAAAGATTTCTGGCTCCCAGGTGTCTTTTATACAGGTAACGAGCTGAGATTAGGAGCACACTCTTAAATGGAGTGCTCCTAATCTCAGTTTGTTACCTGTATAAAAGATACCTGTCCACAGAAGCAATCAATCAATCAGATCCAAACTCTCCACCATGGCCAAGACCAAAGAGCTCTCCAAGGATGTCAGGGACAAGATTGTAGACCTACACAAGGCTGGAATGGGCTACAAGACCATCTTCAAGCACCTTGGTGAGAGGTGACAACAGTTGACAACAGTTGGTGCGATTATTCGCAAATGGAAGAAACACAAAAGACCTGTCAATCTCCCTCGGCCTGGGGCTCCATGCAAGATCTCACCTCGTGGAGTTGCAATGATCATGAGAACGGTAAGGAATCAGCCCAGAACTACACGGGAGGATCTTGTCAATGATCTCAAGGCAGCTGGGACCATAGTCACCAAGAAAACAATTGGTAACACACTACGCCGTGAAGGACTGAAATCCTGCATCGCCCACAAGGTCCCCCTGCTCAAGAAAGCACATATACATGCCCGTCTGAAGTTTGCCAATGAACATCTGAATGATTCAGAGGAGAACTGGGTGAAAGTGTTGTGGTCAGATGAGACTAAAATGAAGCTCTTTGGCATCAACTCAACTCGCCGTGTTTGGAGGAGGAGGAATGCTGCCTATGACCCCAAGAACACCATCCCCACCGTCAATGGAGGTGGGAACATTATGCTTTGGGGGTGTTTTTCTGCTAAGGGGACAGGACAACTTCACCGCATCAAGGGACGATGGACAGGGCCATGTACCGTCAAATCTTGGGTGAGAACCTCCTTCCCTCAGCCAGGGCATTGAAAATGGGTCGTGGATGGGTATTCCAGCATGACAATGACACAAAACACACGGCCAAGGCAACAAAGGAGTGGCTCAAGAAGAAGCACATTAAGGTCCTGGAGTGGCCTAGCCAGTCTGCAGATCTTAATCCCATTGAAAATCTGTGGAGGGAGTTGAAGGTTTGAGTTGCCAGACGTCAGCGTCAAAACCTTAATGACTTGGAGAAGATCTGCAAAGAGGAGTGAGACAAAATCCCTCCTGAGATGTGTGCAAACCTGGTGGCCAACTACAAGAAACGTCTGACCTCTGGGATTGCCAACAAGGGTTTTGCCACCAAGTACTAAGTCATGTTTTGTACTAAGTACTAAGTCATGTTTAGCAGAGGGGTCAAATACTTATTTCCCTCATTAAAATGCAAATCAATTGATAACATTTTTGACATGTGTTTTTCTGGATTTTGTTGTTGTTATTCTGTCTCTCACTGTTCAAATAAACCTACCATTAAAATTATAGACTGATCATTTCTTTGTCAGTGGGCAAACGTACAAAATCAGCAGGGGATCAAATACTTTTTCCCCCTCACTGTATGTGGCTGCTTTTATAGCAAAATCTAGAAACATTTCACTGAGTCCATTTTATTCTACACAGGTTTGTAGGCAGGCGATAAGAGAGCTGAGTTGAAGCTCTGTATTGCTCTTCTCAGTGGCTCTTCTCTCCCTCTCAGCTTCCTCCCTCTCCAGTTCCTCCTTCTCCCCTTCCTCCCTCTCTGCTTCCTTCTCTTTCTCTGCTTCCTCCTTCTCTGCTTCCTCCTTCTCAACTTCCTCCCTGTCTGCTTCCTCCCTCTCCACTTTCTCCCCTTCCGCTTCCTCCTCCACCGCTTCCTCCTTCTCCGCTTCCTCCTTTTCTGTTTCCTCCTTCTCTGCTTCCTCCTTCTCCACTTCCTCCCTCTCTGCTTCCTCCCTCTCCGCTTTCTCCCCTTCCGCTTCCACCTTCTCCACTTCCCTTAGCTCCGCTTCCTCCCTCTCCACTTCCTCCCCCTCCGCTTCCTCCTTTTCCGCTTCCTCCTTCTCCGCTTCCGCCTTCTCCGCTTCCTCCTTCTCCGCTTCCTCCTTCTCCAGCCTCACAGACTCCAGCACATCTCTCTCCTTGGAAGACAGGATGTAATACCAAGTAGGCATCACATAGTCTATATAGTGGCTTCCTCTCCTATCCTTCTAGACTGATGTGAAACATTTACATGTACATTTTAGTCATTTAGCAAATGCTCTTATCCAGAGCAACTTACAGTTAATGCATTCATTTTAAGATAGATACACCACATGCCAAAAGTATGTGGACAGCTTGTTGAACATCTCATTACAAAATCATGGGCATTAATATGGAGTTGGTCCCCCCTTTGCTGCTATAACAGCCTCCACTATTCTGGGAAGGCTTTCCACTAGATGATGGAACATTGCTGTGGGAACTTGCTTCCATTCACCCACAAGAGCATTAGTGAGGTTGGGCACTGATGTTGGGTGATTAGGCCTGGCTCGCAGTCGGCATTTCAATGAATCCCAAAGGTGTTCGATGGGGTTAAGGTTAGGGCTCTGTGCAGGCAAGTCAAGTTCTTCCACACCGATCTCGACAAACCATTTCTGTATGGACCTCGCTTTGTGCACAGGGGCATTTTCATGCTGAAACAGGAAAGGGCCTTCTCATAAACTGTTGCCACAAAGTTGGAAGCACAGAATCATCTCGAATGTCATTGTATGCTGTAGCGTTAAGATTTCCCTTCACTGGAACTAAGGGGCCTAGCCCGAACCATGAAAAACAGTTCCAGACCATTATTCCTCCTCCACCAAACTTTACAGTTGGCAATATGAATTTGGGCAGGTAGCGTTCTCCTAGCATCCGCCAAACCGATATTCTTCCGTTGGACTGCCAGATGGTGAAGAATGATTCATCACTCCAGAGAATGCGTTTCCACTGCTCCAGAGTCCAATGGCGGCGAGCTTTACACCACTCCAACCGACGCTTGGCATTGTGCATGGTGATCTTAGGCTTGTGTGCGGCTGCTCGGCCATGGAAACCCATTTCATGAAGCTCCCGACGAACAGTTCTTGTGCTGACGTTTCCACTTCACAATAACAGCACTTACAGTTGACCGGGGCAGCTCTAGCAGGGCAGAAATGTGACGGACTGACTTGTTGGAAAGGTGGTATCCTATGCCGGTGCCACGTTGAAAGTCACTGAGCTCTTCAGTACTAAGGCCATTCTACTGCCAATGTTTGTCTATGGAGTTTGCATGGCTGTGTGCTCGATTTTAGATACCTGTCAACAATGGGTGTGGCTGAAATAGCCAAATCGACTAGTTTGAAGGGATGTCCACATACTTTTGTGTAGGTGATACAACCACATATCACAGTCATAGCAAGTACATTTTTCCTCACTAAAGTAACAATGAAAGACATACACACGTGGGTATCCATCTTCAGTGAGCTCCAAAAGTATAGGGACAGTGACACATTTCTTCTTGTTTTTGATCTGTACTCCAGCATTTTGGATTTGAAATATACATTGACTGTGAGGTTAAAGTGCAGACTGTCAGCTTTAATTTGAGGGTATTTTCATCCATATCGGGTGAACCGTTTAGAAATTACAGCACTTTTTGTACATAGTTCCCCCATTTTAGGGAACCAAAAGTATCGGGACAAATTCACTTATGTGTATTAAAGTAGTAAAAAGTTAGGTATTTGGTTCCATGTTCATAGCACGCAATGATTACATCAAGCTTGTGACTTTGTTTTGGTTGTTTCAGATTATTTTGTTCCTAATAGAAATGAATAGTAAATAATGTCTTGTGTCATTTTAGAGTCACTTTTATTGTAAATAAGAATATGAAATGTTTCTAAACACTTCTACATTAATGTGGATGCTACCATGA